CCCCAAAACCCCAAAACCCCAAAACCCCATATAAAGATATAGTATTTGAAGATAATAATATATAAATATGGACAAACTTATTTATGAAGAAGAGAACTTATCAGAAGAATTCCTTGATGAAAATGCATCTGCTGCGACTCCAAATATGTCTCCTCATATCGACAGGAATATGTGTGGATCTTCTTTTCACTTTAGCTCCGCGTTGACAAAAGCAATTAAGAAAGAACAGCTTTCAGGGAGTAAGTCTGCTTGAAAAAAATCGCCATTGAAAGGCAGTGAGTTTGAAATGCCTCAAGACTTTCAGTCTTACGTTAAAATGAGGAGCAATCAATCAACTCAGAGGTCTAGTCTCAAAGAAGACATTAAAGGCCTCTTACAGAAGGCTATCAGAATTAGAAGTTCTTCTTATTACGACCCTGCTTCACCCTACTCAGGCAAAGTGCAGGGCAAACAACAAGTCAAAAGGAGGACTACCAAGTTAATCACTATGAAAGACATCAAGGCTGCAGTGAACAACTGGCCATAATTACCCTAACTGTTCTAATAAATTTTCCCAAAAATGCTACTTTTTCCAATACTTTTTACCTCAATGATTCTTATTGAAATACTCATAAATTACTTGGCTAATTGATTGGCATTATTACTGAAGGAGCAGCATGGCGAGGGTTTTATATTCTGCCAAAAATCCTAATAAAATAGTCCTTTACTAAGGCTCCATGATTTGGAGCAAATGCAAATATTTAGCAAAAAGCAAGATAATTTAGGATGAAACCACCACCAAATTGTGCAATGGTATAAAAATAATCAGACTCTACTTACTTCATTAACTTTTGATGCTAAATTAATGATTACACATATGGTTAACTTCAGCCCATCCAGGTGGTCATCTAAAATACCAAGCTACGTTTATAATACGAAATTTAAATTTTCATAATTGTACAATCCTTAATTTCTATTTGAGTATTAATAATAATCTGGGCAAAAGGTAGCCTTTCTCTCTGGAATTCTCTAGTTTCATGGAAAATTCTAGATTTCGACTCTTGATAGGACCTTTCGAAAAGCAGCAATTGACTGCGATTTACTCCTACGTTTAATAAAATAGAAAACTAAATTAACCTAATATTATCTTCATCCAGGGGTTTTGGGGTTTTGGGGTTTTGGGG